GTCAAATTTATATTAAACATTTTTAGGCTTGTAGCCCTTCTTTGTTACATTATTTAATTTATTGAGCCTTTTTGCTTAATTTTGATTTAGATTAAAAATGTAGATATTTCTTGGTGACAAAATTTAGCACAACGCTTTGGCTAATGCTCAGTTTAAATTTAAAGTATATTTTTTATATAAAATTAAGTAAAGACTTACATATAAAAAAAGTTTTTAATAAACAGTGACCGCCATCTAAAACCTTCTGAAGGTCACTCAGGGTCATGACCTTGACAACGTATGTCAAAGTTAAGGTCATCGGCGCGATGTCCCTTAATCCGAATAACTACCAAAAGTTAAGATTTACATATTTATATAAGAGTAGACATTTTATATGAAAATAAAAACTATTTCCTTTTTTTATTAGATCAAAGATTTTTAAAATGTCATTTAATGAATATTTTAGATATAAAATAAAGCAAATTTTTAAATATTTTTTATTTCTAAAAGTTTAGTATTTTATAAATAAGGTATCAATTTAACAACTTTTTCTATTTTTTGCCTTTTTCAGTACTAATAAAAAAACCAGTTATATTTTTGAAGACTGTTCGCGATTTCCTGCTTTTTGTCTAACTCTACTTATTATTATTCGTAATTATTCTCACCGAAGAAAGCGAACAATGCGGTTCGATTTTTCACCGACGGCAGGCCATCATCGCCCTGCATGAACAGATCGCTGAGCTTCCGAGGGGATGGCCTGTCTTGGCCAGCCATCGCGTACACACCATCGGAGTATGCCGCCGGGACCTTTCGGATTAGCCTACTGTCTATGGAGGTACATACGACTAGTATTAGGATAACTTTCCATGAACAATCACCTTCGCTGTGTACAAATATAATCGCGGGGTCATCACTTTCCTGTCTCATTAACTCTTCTAAGAAATATTTTTCGCGTCATTCCCATGATTGATTAGTTCTGATGTCCTTTCTTACTTGAATTTTATCTTCGATGTAAAATTGATAAAACGTATTTTAATTAAACAAACATATAATTGTTGCGTAAACAATCCCTGGTAGCAAGCTATGTCATTTTGTCGTCATTTTGACGTCAAAAGACGTCATTTTGACATAAGTTTGTTACCAGAGATAATTATGAGAGTAATTTTGTCAAAACCTATTTAAGAGAAATTTTCTACTTTTTGTTGAAAATTATTGAATCTCAAAAAAGCTATGTATGAATACGAGATTAATTTTTAATTAACTGTTGTCAATAAAAAATTGAGTAAAACGTGGAAAAATTCTAATAATTTGTTGAGGTGCTTCGAAATGCTTTCATTAGTAAATTTATTCAGTGAAAAGGAGAACATTGGATTTTTATAAAGTGACAACCCTGACGTTCGTAATAATAAAACAGCGAAGGTATTTGGATTTTAATACACAAATTCAAGTACTTGCCAATTGCACCCCAATCAGGATGGGCCAAATTGTTAAAAAATCCATCGTATCTCTGTTTATTGACCGCATGATTGTGCCCTGCTCCTAAAATATAGGCTTACTTTATATAAATAAATTCTCGATGGAAATTTATTTATATAAATAAATTTACAATATCACTATTGAGCGAACAATCGATTACCGATATTAACATCACGTTTAAATCGTGAGAGTTAATAATCCGGTGAGCAACGAGTTCAGATGTAAAATATGATTTCTCTGTTCTTTAATTAATTACTCGAGGAGCGTAACGCTTTTCTGTTTTGAAAATATAATTAGGATATTCGGGGCAAAATAAATGTGCAAATAATCGAAAGTGGGTCAAAAGTATAGAACGAGTATTTAACGAACTCTAGATCTACCGTAAAATTTTCATCTCTCGTTCCGATTTGGTCCATAACTTTCGTAAATATTTTTTATCGGTAAATTAACATGAAATTAATATTTATTTTTATTTCGCTTTCGGATTTTTATTCAAATTCGTTATGCTCTGTTTTATCGAATTAATTATATAGTTCCCTAGATGAAACTTAATAAATAAGATTGAGAATTATTTTTCATGTAGTCGGATATAATTCTTTGAGCACGACTATCTATTAAATTTATTTTAACAGATAATTTAAATAATTCAAATAATAATACACAATCTATTTTATAATAACAAATGTTAAGAATAGTTATTAAAATTGTTACTAAATTATTTTTTGCGTTATTAGTATCAAAAGTACGATGCATTATTTACAGTATAAAAAATTTTACATTTAAACTGAGTCTCATATAACAATCATTTCGACAGTTCTCTTTTATGAGCGTCAAGACTTACAATTATAGGTGCCGGAACGATAATGGCGATTGTACTTACCGGTTTCAGCGGGTAATACGACCCAGAACACCCAAGCGATCGCGCAGAGCGGCGCGATGCTGCGGGCCGGCGGTCGTCGTCGTGTCATCATGTGTCACTCGTTCTCGCCTGATCCACGCCCGTGCATTTCTCTCATGCCAAGCAAGCGTCTTCTTTTTCAGGCCCTTGGACGATCTCCTTCTCTCTTTCTTTCTTTCTCTACTATCAACGGTGTCCTCGGGGATGCATGCCGTTGGTACCGTCTATCAGCGGGTGATATGAGAATGTACCAATCGCGCGGCACATACGAATCTTTGGATTCACCGGAGTCCAAAGACGCGAACCGGTCCAGAGGCTGAAAGGCGGCGGAGCAGTGCGGTGGATTGTTCGCTACCACCTGGCGGTCCCGCCGAAGGAAAGAAAGAGAGAAAGAGCTCACCGCGAGACACAAAATGCAAAAATGCCACTGTATGATTTTTCGACTGGCCCGGATGTGGCGATTACGTGTGGGCGCGCGGATAAGAATTGAAAAATGAAAATGAAGGCGGTATGGCGCGCTCCGGAGTACCACGTGCCTGGTCCCGAGAAATGAAATCACCATCCGTTATCTCGCTGCGCGGGTCCGTCGAGGAAACGGGAGAGACGGAGCAACGACGATACACACGCGAGCCCCAAGAACGGCTGTGGCTGTCTCTCGGACTGTGGATCTGACTGTGCGCTGGTCTGCGCCTCCGCCACCACACACAGTCGCTCTTGGTCGCGCGGTGAAAGTCGCCGGCCTATTTGTTTCGTTACCGCGAACGCGCCTCCTCCTCCTCCTCGTCCTCCTCCATATCTGTCCCTCTCGCCGCCTCCTCCGCGGGCTACGGCGTCGTCGGCCTCAGTGTTCTTCAACCATTTTTCGTACGGCGCTTTTATGTCCATTTTTACCAAAATGTAGATTAACTTTAACATACTCTTTATTTTTCTCTAATTCTTAGAACTAGGTATAAACAGTTAAATTAAACCGAAATTAAAATTAATATCTATTATATATTGATAGAAATACACATTATAGAAAGAGATAGGCATTCATACATTCAAAACGCGTTCTTATCTTACCTACATTTTTAATCGACTCAATTATGCAATTCGTTTTATGCTCACTTCTATATATCAATATAGATTAACTTTATAATTAATCTCGGTCTAACTTACTTTTTATCTTTTTCCAATTCTTAGAACTGGAAGAAGACCAAAAGTAAGTTAGACCAAGATTAAAGCTAATCTACATTGTTAAAAATGGGCATTACTGACAATTGAAATATCAAACTCGTTTTATTTGGAAAAGCCTTATCGATGCCTAAAGCCGTTCCTATTAAATTGTTAGAGCCAACTGAGGCTCGAGGGATTCATCGTCTTTAGAAACATACTATTTTAAGTAACGTTCGCGGGAACGGCATTCAAGGAGCGTACTCGCGGTCTGCACTTACTGCGGTCCCACGGCTGTACTGGTTGAAAAACCACTGTACATGAAGGCGCGATGCCGCGCGGCGACGTCACCGCGGGCGCAGGCCTAGTTTTCGAGTCCACGGCACCGATTACCCAAGGCGAAACCTCTCTCGAGTCCCTGCCGGTCGTTTCAAGGTCGAGCAACGTCGGACGGACGGTGCCGATGCGCACGTTAGAGACGATACGGAGGACACGGTACGTTCGCGTAATCAAGTCGCGACATTCCCCAGTGACTTTTTTTTTCTCCTCTTCGACAGCCGCACTATCGTAGTGAAAATCCGTGTCAACGATGCAAGTCGACAAACGACGGTCGGAAAGAGTAGGATAACACGCTGATACGTCACGTACCGACATCAATACAAACACAGCCGATTTACGAGTTGGCTTCATGTTTGTACTATGTTGGTATGTCGAACGTTGCATTTGATGATCAAGTAACGTTACATTCAATCAACAAAGAATATTTGCATTTGATGATTAAATAACGTTATATTCAAACAGCACAGATATCGCACATTTGATGTTAAATAAACACTAAATACGTGTTTGAACAACAGAAGTCTAAATGAGATGTAAAATGTGTTTTAAAAAGATTAGAGTGTTTTTAAAACGTCTTTGTGACTGCTATATTATATAAAACACGTAATGATAATTATCTCGAACAATACGTTTGTATTGTTTACGTTAATTACTGTTACGTATTTTAATTGTAATTAATAGCACATCTCTTGTCGCGCTCTTGTTTCGAAACCGTAGACCTCTGTTTCAGATCTCAGATTCTCGCAATGTAATATATGCAGGTTAATTAGGCTGCTCATTCGGGAAGATTCGATGATGGTGCTGTTGGCAGCCGGATACAAAAGGTGCGTCCGTCGGCGTCGTACTCGCATTATGACTCAACCCGGAGAGAAATCGCGTCTACTGTTCTCGACTGCCGGTCGATCTTTTATCGCCCTTGGCACAAATCGGCACTTGGAAAAGGAGATCACACGCGTTATCGTGTGCAGCGTGTTTTACGCCGCTTCTTCGTTTCGGAAGCGCAAGATCTTTCGAGAGATCTTTCACCCCCCTCCGTCGTGAATCAGAAGGTGACTCCTCGACGCGTCCGGAAAGGATGAAATATCGCTCGCATAAATCAAAATGCGTTTTTGCAGGGATTCCCCGGTCTTGTCCAACCCAAAGAATGGATGCACTTGTAAAAGAACTTGTTTATTCGTATACCATCGTTTGCATACAGAATCATCGAACAAAAAACTTCCGTTTCGTGGAAGGAACGAGATCATCGCAAATCGTTCGCGATCGTCGTGAAATAAAAAAAAAAGGATTGCGTATAACTCATCGACGTCGTACTTTCGTTCGTATATTTATTGTCGAAAGGCATATTAGCGCGCTCGTTACAAAATATTTCGTTCCGGTACAAATACTTAAAGTACACCCATGATGCTTTCGTGCAAATCCACTCGCACATACTCTGGGAAGATGGACGGAGAGACCGCAGGTGTCGAGTGGCGGTCACTTGGAGTTTGAGTTCGAGGGGTAGTAGTAAACCACCGCAGGTGCTGGCAGTTGCCAATGTGCGGCATGGAGCTCAATCAGTTGCAGAAGAGTCCTCTTCACCGGTGGTAGCGTCGTCTCCTCTGCTAGGAAGGCGTCGCGTACGCTGCCAAGCAGCTGTTGTAGCTGCGCGGGCAGCTCCGCGTCCAGATCCTTGCCAATGCACGTGAGGATGAAGAATAGGCAGTTCGTCTATGATATAGACGAAGAGAGAGATCAACCTTCTATTGAATTTTAATGAACTTCAATTCGGTCGAAGATCGGTTCGTAGTAATTCAGAGAATCCAGCGCGAAAATGATGTAAGTTCATTCGGTCTTGCGAAATCTACCTTGGATGCGTTCAGATTTCCACCCGAGTACTGGATATCATTTTATCTTTGTTTACACATTAGATGAACAAGAGTAAAATAATGTTTGGATGACGCTTGCATAGGAATCTGAACGTAGCCTTGGATACAATTTCATATCTGCATCTTGTTATAGATTTATCTTATACTTGCGTTGAACTCTGTAATTTTGGCTCAAACTTTGAACGTAAGAAATAGTAAGAAATTTTGCTAAGTTAATACAAGATGTTTACTGACATCTTATTAAAAAATTCTCTTGAGAATTTTCGGATTTTCCAGATAATTAGTTCAAAATTCCAAATAAGATTAGAGAATTTTTTAATTTGAAATAAATTAGAATCCAACACAAATAAATTATTGAAAATCAGTAGGAGATATTACACGAACCTATATCTATCGTTTTCTAGAATTAGAACCGCAAACTTATAGGATAGTATGGAGAAGATTACTATAGTAGCCTATTCTGCTGAATATTGTTTCATCCTGATATTTTTAATAAAAACTTGCGAGATATACACGAGAATATACGTGAATATATGTATGTCATACTTATTGCTAAGTGACTGTCAACATTCTGCATTATTAAGAAAAAAATGATCGTAGAAATAATATTTTCAAAGACAGAATTTAAATTTAAAAAAGTAAAATTTAAAAAATGTTCTAATAAAATTCTATGAAAATTCCAGATTTCTAAATTCTCTATATAGATAATAAACACCTTGTAATAACAAATTCGGTTGAATCTCAGCACTGGTGCATAAAGCCGTCGTACATAAATTGATGTAAAAGTGTGTATTTAATATAAATATAGATATGGGTTAATCACCGAAATCCTTAATATGCTTTGTTATGCTGTTTTATAAAATATATTTTATAATTTGAAATATTTGCATTTCACTTTTTCATTTACAAATTAAATTAGTGTATAATATTATAGTTTGAGACTGTGTTCCACTTAATGTTTGCAACACTCGCGAGTATCGTTTGTTCTTGTTTAACATTTGATAAACGAGGATGAAATGATTCCATGAGCGTTGTGAATGTTAAATGGAACGTAGCCTTAATATGTCAATACACATTAGTGCGTCCAACCGAATTCGTTATAAGGATGAAGTTAATAAATTCTGTTTTGTCGCAGGCCAATGGTTTTGTTTTATAACACTCGTCAATCGAGCTCAGTCTTACCTCGGCAAGTGAATCGATGGCGGGTGGCTGCAGACAATCCTGGCAACATTTCCAAAGCAGCGTGAGCAGCACGCGTCCGGGAGGAACGCCCTCCTGCTGTGTCTTCAATTGTAGCTGCCGTCGTTTCAACTGGAACAACGCGATTATACACATTTATGCGGGCACGCTCGAAAGCTTAGTACCGTCATAACATGCAGCAGACGATAAAAAAAACAACGAGTATATAAATAATTGAAATGAACGCTAAATTATACGTTATCGTAAATCGTAGATCGGAAACTGACCCGTTTCTTTCCATTACACGGAGGTATCGTTGCAGTTGTTAACTAGTTAGCGCATTTCTTACGGGAATAATGAATACCTCGTGATGAACGTGTCATTATGTGCTTAGTTATACCTGGCAATACATCTCGTTGAGAAACATCATAAAGGCTGAGTACCGATGGCAGGTCGTGCCGTCATGCAGTAATCTGGCGCGATCCTGGTACCATTGTTGGCACGTATTTAACAAGGATTCCAGGAAAGTTTCCTTTGTTTCTTTCTGTACGTGAAACGTATCTCAAGTTATATATTTCATCTTGTGTGCGTCTAAATTAGAATATTACTGTTTGGATAATTCTTTTAAATACGCATAAAATAAAATGAAATGCAAACAATAGCAATATTTAATAGCAAACGACTATATTTTTATAACTTATTCATATTTTTTATAAAATTAAAAAAGATGAAGTTCTAATTTTTCAGATATTTTTTTCTTAAAATATCTCATTTGTATTTCTTTTACATTTGAAAAGATGAACAGCGAGTGTTCATCGTCGACCTTCTTGATCAATTTTATGAAAGGATAATGAAAAAAAATAACCTCTATAATTGTGATGCAAATTTTAGCTGCCGGCTCGGCATACTTGCGATTCTCCACTACTCTATCCAGAATGTGTCGTACTAGTTCCATCAACGTTCTCGCATTTAAAAGATTCGGATCTGTCAACAACATACATTAACGCTAATCACTTTAAATAATTTTGTAATTGTTAAATTTTTAATTATTGGCATTTTTCAATATTTTATCATCAAAGAAACCATGTTGGAAATACTATATTTTGTCTATTTTTGTTGAATTGTTATGCTCTAATGATAAATCACCATAAAGTAATGTACAATTCGATTGGAACAACGTGATCTATTTAAGTATAAAAAGCTTAAGCATTCTATTAACTGATAGTAGATAGACTCTCTCACCTTCTATCGCTCGCAAAAGTATATCTTGAACGGGCGAGGGAAATTTCCCGAGCTCGGAGGCATCCGCAATATTGAGTGCTTTAGCGGTTAATACATCCGTTGAGTTCAGGCTCTTCGAGCGCTTCAGGCCATAAGTCGACACGAAGGTATGCGATTTGGTAAGCTTCCCCGGTTTCATAGAATTAGTTTTAACTTCGTTTTGTTCCACATTGAAATGTACTCGATTCGCGGTCTATAATAGATAAAATAATTTTTATCTAAACCTAAGAGCTTCTCTCTAGTTAACGATAAGTTAACGACCGTTCTGCATTCAATCTTGAATTAAACCAGATGATTACTGCTTTGCGTTCAATCTTTTTTTTAAATGTATCTTTAATTTTGCGCACAGTTCATGTTTCTGGATGTCTTCCAGCAAGAGATATAGATAACATAGTGTGATACAAAGAACCATTACATCCTTGTTCGTCAATTTTAAACAAAAATGCTATAATCATTGTGTCACACTATGTCGCTTGCTAGAATGCACTATCTATGTGCTTCACTTACGTGCAAGATGTTCCCGCTGGATGTGGACATATCTAAAGAATGGAGCTGTCGAAATGTGGAATTTGCTGTCGCGTGATGGCCACTCTGAGAATGACGGGACGATAACTGGTGCTGTTGCTGTAGAGGATGTTGTAGCTGTTGTTGCTGAGCGTAGAGATAACGGTGTATATTACCGCTCGATTTACTGTGCTGCAGATAATACGAGGAGCGCTCCGATGCATTATTCCGAGACCTAGTCGAGATACATGTCCGTTTCGATTATTTACAGATCGATTAAATTCAGAATCGTGTCTGATAGCGAATTCGGTTGAACGCACTACTGCATGTTAAAGCCGTTGTACACTGATTTAATCTGTGTATAAGCAAAATGCAAATATTTCAAATCTAAAATACAAATTTCACTTAACAGTACAATAAAATGTATTGAGACCAAGTGAGACTTTCATCTGCGTTTTTATATTTATATTTACTAAATACGAGGGCAAATCAATAAGTACCCGTGTTTGAAGACAGGTGATGTTGCTGATGCAAGTTGCCATCGTGTACTACCATCTTTCAAATGACGCCATACAAAATTTCAGAGTGATTCATGCAATAGTCTTGATTTGACAGTAATTCGTAGTGAGAGTGTTTGATGTTTTCGACGATACAATGGAAAAAGAACAATATCGATCCGTGATTCGCTTTTTATTTTTGGATGGAAAAACGTGCGAAGAAATAAAAACGAAGTTGGATGCCGTCTATGGGAACCCTTCACCGTCTATGACAACCGTCAGATATTGGTTCAACGAATTCAAACGTGGTCGTTCGTTTGTTTTTGATGAGGAGCGCCCAGATAGCCCGGTAGACGTGGTTATTGAGGAAATCGTTGAAAAAGTTCACGATATGATTCTCGCTGATCGCCGAACGAAAGTACGTGAAGTAGCAGAGGCCATAGGCGTGTCGTATGGAACGGCATTCAATATTTTGCATGATAATTTAAGAATGAAAAAGCTGTCGGCCCGATGGGTGCCGCGATTGGTCACGGTGGACAACAAGCGAATGTGGCTATCAATTTCAAAGCAATGTTTGGAGCTGTTCAAGCGCAATCCGAAGGAGTTTTTGCGTCGAGTAGTAACCGTTGATGAAACATGGATTCATTACTACACACCGGAGACCAAGATACAGTCAAAACAGTGGATTTCACCCGGCGAACGTGTTCCGAAGAAGGCCAAGACGATCCCATCGGCCGGAAAAGTGATGGCCACTGTTTTTTGTAACGCGCAAGGCGTAATCTTCATCGACTACATGGGGAAAAGCAAAACTATCACGGAGCAGTACTACGCTGACTTATTGGACCGATTCGATGTTGAATTGAAGAAAAAACGCCCCCATTTGGCGAAAAAAAGTGTTGTTCCATCAGCACAATGCACTGGCTCACTCCTCCGCAGTCGCCACAGCCAAATTGGTCGAATTGCGGTACGAATTGCTGCCGCATCCACCGTACTCTCCGGATTTGGCCCTCTGCGATTTCTTCTTGTTTCCAAACTTGAAAAAATGGCTCGGTGGAAAAAGATTCACGTCGAATGAAGAGATCATTGCCGAAACAGAAGCCTATTTTGCAGAGTTCGACGAATCGTATTTTTCGGAGGGGTTAAAAAAATGGCAAAAACGTTGGGGACAGCGTATCCTCCTAAAAGGGGATTATGTTGAAAAATAAAAAAAAGTTTTGTGAAAATCTTGCGTCTTCATTACTAACACGGGTACTTATTGATTTGCCCTCGTACATATTTTTATGTTAATTTATGTACGACGGCTTTAACGTGAACCAGTGCGCATTAAGTGCAACCATTCAAATTCGTTATGAGATCTTGGAGAGTCCGAGCAAGTTCGACCAATTTTTTTTATTAAAAAACACTCAACATATATTTATATTATTACTGCTATTGTAAATAACTTAGCAATAAAGTTGAACTTAAAAAAATAATTTCTGATTTAAAAATATTTTCTCATCATGAAAAGACAGAAATCGATCATTAAACAAATCGTTTTGATGTTACAGCATTAATTAAATATATAAACAATCCAGATTATCTTATTATTTTTTTTATTACAATTAATGTATTAAACTTTCTGAACGATTTTAGAAACAGCGTCGTGACTCAACTCAACCAATGTTCACACGGCGACAGTACACTATTTAAATATAGTCCGCTGGTTCATACTCACTTAGAAGGATGCGAATCGTTCTGCTTCATCGTGAATTCCTTGGCGTGCACGTTTAGTCGAAGATTAGTGACGTTCGCCGTGGTTCCTTCCGCTCTCCCACCTAGAGATGACCATGAAACTAAGACGACGACGACTCGAATGATAAATGATAAAATTTACGATACGATATGTGCTCGTCACTTAATAGCCAGAGAATACAAACCTGGGGGTCGGTATATTTCTAAGGACGGTTTGGACTTGGGGGTAGCTATGTTATTATTTCCTTTCTGTGGAACCGCATCCCTCATCTAAAGAAAACAAAAAAAATACACATCACGCATAAGACACGCAAGAATCTAACGAGTCTGTCCTCGAAACACCTTTGAGTGTGCCTCGAGTTCGTGGAGATCTTTTACTCGCTACACAGAATTGTACCATAGCGAGGCTACAAATGATTGAGAATAATTGCGTCGTCTATATTAAAAGCTAATATAGACGGCTCAAGTCAAACTTTCCGATTTAATTGCCACTTATGCAAATGGAAAACGTAGATGATTCATCATCTGAAGAAAGTGGAAACGTTGATCAAAATGTTCTGCTTAATTGTTAATTTTTAACTAGTAAGTGTTAATTTTTTGATGTCATTATATGTATATAATATTTATTTCATTGATATTTATTTTATGATATTTCATGTAATAATTTTGTAAAATTGAAGTAGTGTTAATGCTTTCAAGTGTATCATGTTCTATTTTTCAATGTATGACACATCAAATAAAGTAACACGATGATGTAGTTGAGCTTTATAATATAGTTTTGCAATATTTTCCTCGCAGAAGCGTTAAAAATCTTCAAAACAATATATATAATGCTTAAATATTTATGTAAAGACGTGAAGGTCAATTTCAAACGGAATAATCTTAAACAAAACGCCAAGTTCAAGGACTTCTTTTTTCCTCTTGTAGTAAGCAAAAATTATTTCTAAGTGTCCTGCACAAGTTGCTGAAAAATATCTTTGACCATAGCTGCGAATGTAATTCCAAAATCTGAAATTTTAAAATAATCCTTCTAATCAAAATCTTGGCATTCGCTTCTCGCGTTGTATATACGCCGCTTAACCACGTGCATTATTTACTACAGTGCATACAGGATGTTTCTTAAGTATTGTTCTATATTCAGAATTGATTAAAAGTTATTTTATAAAAAAAAGTTCATATTAATTAATATATATATAGTCCCAAAGATTTCAAAAATACAAGATTAAAAATTCTATAGAATTAACATTTTTACTTTAGTACTTAAATGAATAAAGATTTCTTCTTCAACTTTGGGCTAGTAAATAGGCAAGGTATTATCTTCATGTTTTACCTATAATCACTATTTTGTAAGAAATCAATGACATAAAAATATACACACAAAGTTAAGTAATAATAATATCACTAATATTACTGCTCCAAACTTTTCGATGATTAGAATTTTTTGTAGATTTTTATTATTTCATTAAGACAATCTCATCAAAGATATTCTAAAAAAAATGAATCTTTTATACCTTTCTTAAAAACTATTAAGCCATTGAACAACTTTATAGAATTTTTAACTTGCTGTATATCTTTGAAACCGTGTGTTCATATCTTTATAAAATATAATCTCAAAAATCAATTTCTAAAATATTGAACAATATTTAAGAAACACTATATGTGACAGAATGTATAATAAAGAGCGAACAAATACGTTTCTTTCGTTGTAATGTATGTCACAATAAATGCAACGAACATATTGGCTAAATGCACAAGCTCGTTATGGTAACACATCGCGAAGCACGCGGGATGTTAAATGTGTGTACGTTACACGCCGTGGACTCAATTAAACGCGTGGGTTTAATTTACGCGCCAATTTATTGTCACGGACAGTACCATATTATGAATACTAATTGTGAATAAATTAATCTACGTGATTAAAAAAACAATAGATTGCGTGAATCAGTTTATCCGACTGTCTCTAAGAGACAGTAAATGTTCCAACAAGAAATATTTTCTAAATAAAAGATTTTTGTCTACTTTTTGCACACACATTTCATATTTCATCTATTCTCTTTTATAAAAACGCAAATTTATAGTTTCACAAAAGAGAAATAAATAAATCAAGATAAAAAACAGACAAAAAGAAAAAAATTGATAATTACAATGCAAAGGCAAGCCTCTCTATTTTATTTTTTATTAAATATTTATAAAATTTTCATCAATTCTTTAAGTCGTTTTCTTTCACAGGAAAAATACATGCGAAAATACATGTGAAATTAGAAGTACACCGCCATTGTGTTTATATCACTGTTTCAGATCGCGCTTACAAGAAATGTAATGTTATCACGCGATTTTTCCAGTTTGCACATGAAAAGAATGATATATGAACAGCATTATTCTAATTGAAGATAATCTGACTAATTGAGAATAACAGTATAATATTAATGAAACAAATAGCATTTTATTAAAATTACAACATACGTATTTATTTCATTAATACCGAATTATTGAATTAACTTCTAAGATTATCTTCAGTTAAACAGGAGGTTTACTGAAATCTTGTACAAAAATTCTGTAAGAATTCTTGAATTTTCCATTGTTATTTAAATTTGTTTTTTAAATATAATTTCGGAATAAATTGGCATGCGAACAACAAACTATATATTGAAAATTAGCAGAAGACATTAGCGTGAAACAGATTTCACGAGATAATATCTATAATTTTGTAGAGCCGCGTAACATGTAGAATAGTATAAGGAAGGTTCACTACCAAAAATACCATCAGCCATTCTATTCTGCTAATAAGTATTATCTTCTACTGTCACCTTTTTTTAATAAAAATTCGCGAAATAAAAATATACATGAATATACGCGAATGTGTATGTCGTATTCATTGTTAACTAATCGACAACATTTACATTATCAAGAAAAAATTTGTTTATATTTTCAAAAACAAACAATTTAAGTTTAAAAGTAAAACTCCAAAAATCTCCCAATAAAATTCCAAAAAAATCTCTGATTTCCGAGGGTAAAAAAAATCTCTCGAAAATTCCAGGTTTTCCAGATTTTTCCAAGTAATAAACATCCTGTTCAATTAGATTGCTGTTAGCTAACGCTGTTTATATACATCAATCTGTTTCCATGCACGTCGTCTTCCTATTCGCGCGCGTCAGTACATCAGAGTAGATTTTGCGAGTTTGCCAAGAGACTGCGCGCCGCGCAGCCCGCGAATCTTTCTCATCGTCATTCACGTTCAACAATCGTTAAGAAACAATTGCAAAACGCGGAACAGCAGCAAAACAATAAATAATGCGGGGTCTACAATAGAAGTCATAGAGATCGTAGGGTCTTAAGTCATAAAAAATTGACCAATTATAGTTGATTATTCTTCTCATATTCGACTGTGATTGGTCAATTTTCTACGACTTAAGATCCTACGACCGCTACGACTTCTATTGTAGACCCTGCATAAAACACCTTATGTGCTTTCGATAACTGTATGATACCGTAACGTCCGTAACAATACTCGCTCCTATTTTTGTCCCGTGGATTGCGTGACGCGCTTCGACAGTCGGAAATATCGAGAAACGTCACCGATATAGCGCAGAATGACTCAACTGTGCGGAACCATGACTCTCTCGACAGATCGGAAACAGATACTGCGGACACCGACATAGGTTGGTATTCATAGTCGATTCTTATATTTGAGACTGTCTTAAGTACAGGCTTAAGATGTCATCAGTTAATCAAAGGGCTGCATTAGCATCTTAAGACATTACTTAAGACGGACTTAAAATAAGAACGGATTATGAATACCGCCCATAATTTCGATGATTTCAGATCCCAGCGCTACGTATATACACGTATCAAAAAATCGACCGATCTCGAAGCCGTTCTCTAGTTAGTCAAAGCTGATCGCAGTCTAACCACTCTAACCGAGTCTAAAGTCTAAACGACGATCGCGACTCCTCAGTTCTCCTACTGGATGTGGAGTGGATCCAAAGAGAGAGGGAAACGTACAATCAATTAAACCTCGCTTCAACTTGATATAGTAGTTACATTTATTTGTTACGTCTAATGCCCGTTTTTTCTCGGTTTCTATCAATTCAGAATAACTTTACTCTTGATTTAAACTTACTTTTTATCTTTTTCTAATGTCTGTTTCTATTAATGCAGTAATTTAAAATTTTAAGTACAAGGTATACTTAAAATTAAATACTTGGTTCAATCAACTCTTCATCTTTTTCTAGTTCTAAGCATTAAAAAAGGATGAAGAGTAAGTTAAATTGAGATTAAAGTTGATCTACATTGGTAGAAACGGGCATAAAAGACAACGCTGTATCTTTCTGTCATCGCTTTTCATCAATACGTTGAAAGAAAAAATCTGAGCTTGATCGAGAAACAAGGGATGCTTTTGGTAACGCAAGTCAACACAAGCACCATTCTATCTTTGTTATGGGCTACGTTTACATCGTGCGCTTAGTCCGCGACCTATACGATAGGTGTCTTTGTTTAATATACAGGATAAACAAAGACATCTATTATATAGACCGCGGCATATAGCTAATGAATGGAATTTGTTAAACAGAACGACGCTACTTAGCGTCGACTTGTGGAATGAAAAGCTCCCGATGTTTTCACCGAGACAAAAAAATCACAGAGAGAACGAATTCGCGACGAGGAGAAGAGGGGGAGAAGAAATTGTGAATAACGAATAACTCACAGTGAAGAGCGTGCGAGAATCATCCTTTCCAAGGTCCAACGAGCGGATGCTACCGAGGTCCTTCTTCTTGCACACGGATCACTGTTATAGCGGACACACTCGCGGCGCGGCGCGGCGCAACGTGTGCGTTCCGCACGCACGTGCACGCACGGAGGCGAATTTTCGGGCGGGATCCAAGAGACGCACTTGGACGCACTTTCTCCGACGACTCGACGAGAGACGCGACTTTTCCTCGTTGAACGTGCGTACGTGCGTACGACCGTACGTGCGTGCGTACGTGCGTCGTCGCCGTTGCCGTCGTCGTGTCTTCGCTCGCGCACACAGGGACTTCTCTCCGATGACCGAGGACTAATAATAGTCACGGCGTAGCCACGAACGAACGCTATATATCTACGTGCGACGCTGTGTATACGTATTAAAGTACGCCGCTACTCCGCGCGAGAAAAGCAGACTGAAATATCCGACGGGAGACGGGACGCTCGCGTCGCGACGCTTCTTTTTTTCCTCTCTCTCTCTCTCTCTCTCTCTCTCTCTCTCTCTCTATCTCGAGTCGATCGAGATCGGGAATATCAGGACTGGCCAGTATTCATAATTGGTTCTTATTTTAAGATCGTCTTAAATTTAAATAATGTCTTAAAAGATATTAATATTATTGCTTTGTGATTGGTATTCATATAATCCGTTTTTATTTTAAGATAATCTTAAGTAATCTTAAGTCATAAGATGCTAATACAGCTCTCTGATTGAGCTGACATCTTAAAACTGTACTTAAGACGATCTTAAACATAAGATTCTGTCATGGATGCTTTCTCCATTTAGTGGCACAAGTCGACACAAGCATCATTCTATTTTTCTTGCCATTCAGAGAATAACAAAGATAGAACGACACTTGTGTTGACTTGTGGCACCTAAATGGAAAACACCCTTTGAAGCCGGTCTATAATTCACTTTATTCTCTACCGACAGTGACGGCGGCGAAGAGTTAAAAAAGATGATTTATTTACCAACGCTGGACACTTTTGACTGATTCCGCTAATAGATAGAACTTTTTGTCATTGTCTCTATTGTGATAAATCGCGAGATTTATCGATGTTTATATGAACATACGCGAAATTCATGCAGATAAAGATTTCTTCTGTGCTTTCACGATGATCTAATATCTCCGACTATAATCGGTGGATTTTTGCATAACTTCTATATTCTTAACACATATGGCATTACTATATGTTTAATATTTACATTTATAATTTTATCACATTTTTATCTTGCGTACGTGCCATTAAAAGAAAATGTGAAGAATTAAAGAAAATTTTCTTATTGAAATAGAGAGATTGGATTGAAGAATGTTTGAGCTCTAAGTATGTTAATCCGACATTATTAATGTCTATTTTATACCAATGTAAATAACTTTAATCTCGGTTAATTTATACTTTTTACCTTTTTCTCTCTAATTCTAAAAATTAAAAAAAGATCAATAATAAATTAAATCAAAATTAAAAACAATTTACATTGGTAAAAATGGATATAATAAATCTCGAATACTATAAATATAATGTTATTTTCATAAATGTTCTGCCTATTTTCTATATGATTATTGTAATAAAAATATATATAATATATGGAATAACTAAAATAAAAGAAAACATTACATATAGTTTACATTTTATTTACGATTGCAAATACGTATATCAAACGTAAGAAATTAAGAAAAAAATATATTTTGTTTTCTTATACTTTTTGCACTTTACAACAGTCATTCAATAAGAATAACACAATATAAAGTATTAATTTTATTAAATTTTTCACTTCAGTAAAATGATAACGAATTAACAAAGACATTAATAAATTACAAAAATCTCATTTTCAGAGATAAAAATAATCACGAAAATATGATACTGTTTTGCAAATTTTTACCATGTGATGTCATAATTTGTCGCTTCCGCATGGTTTTGCCGTCATCGCGAACTATGTTCCTCTGAATGGATCCATTATCTATTCACATATGTCCGGCATTGAAGTTTTACTTCGGTTTCGCATTCGATCAGGAACAATGATTATAAAATTATGATGAATTCGAGGAAATTCCTAATCTCGCTGTTCATAGTACATTGATATTAACAAAAAAAGATGTACCAACAGGTTTGAGAAGTGTGCAAAATTGAGAATCTACTCACTATAAAATTAACATAATAATGGCTGAAGGTCTCACCTTCGTTAGCGCTCCATCCGCGCGAGTTGCTCGCACCATTCTCGCTGTTTATTTATTACCAAACATTCAATGAAAATCGATGTTAGTGCCGTGTCAGGATTATCTTCACAATATATTTTTTACACTTCACGCAACTCGACAAACAATCTCAATCGTGAGTTTTTGATTTTTAATCGTCTTCCGACGAGAATTTCAATCGTTAATGAAACAAAACTCGATTTATGATCAATCTCTGATGCCCGATTCCACCAATATAAAATTAACTTTAATCTCGTTTTTAATTTATCTCTTTATTTTTTTCTAATTCTAATGATCGTTTTTACCAATATAGTTTAATTATATAATTTCGGTTCAACTAACTCTTCATCTTTTTCTATTTCTAAAAATAAGAAAAAAATGAAGAGTACGTTGAACCGAGATTAAAATTAATCTACATTGGTAAAAACGGACATTAGAAATAAAAACATTCTATAAACAGTAAATTAAACCGAGAATAAAGTTAATCTTACATTGATGAAACCGGGCCTGAGTCGCGCTTATTTCAAAATGATGCCTTTTGTCTCCACGTTTTGCCGAATTTTTCGTAGCACTTTTGTCGGTACTCATTAGAGATAATTAAAACAACCATAAAATGCTGAATACCTCGCGAAACGTTCACGATCACATCACTCCCGACTCGATTTCTAAGCGCGATCGATGGCGCTCGTCGTCTACGCCTCGCTCGATCCAGCCAATCGATCATCCGATCGAATGCAGACGTATCGCGTCACTCGTCGAAGCTATAGATGTCATTTCTCAATTATTATCGCGATGATTCACCTCGTGCTGGATAATAGGCGCTATTGGCACCTTTTCGAAGTTCCTCCCGCGCGTCGAAATCACCGAGAATCGTTATTCCGGTGATTTCCGGAAGAGGACCGGACGCGAGAGCTACAACGCGGTACCGATGCTATCACGCCGATGACTGGAAATATACACGGCGTGCACACACCTAACATTACTTAATACGCGATTTGCGTAGTAGGCGGCCACGTACCGCCTCCGTACACCTGCCGACGCGGATCACCGACGGAAAGAAATAAAAAAAGAAAAAGAAAAAGTTATACCGCGCTCGGATCGGAGCGACGCGGTCGAAGGAGCGCCATTTATATCGGTCATTTATCCGCGTATGTAAATTCGTCGCAGACTCGCATGATACACGCACTTATCTCAATTTAAATTGTAATTATCTTTGAGAAGAAATTTTATTGCTCTTTAATTACCACGCTCACTCCTTACGGCCCTTTTTTGTATAATTTGATTTATTTATTTTTTTAGGAATACAGGACTCCGATCGTTTTATTTTTATTGTATCTTTTCATATTTATCTCAATTTACACACAATTAATTTATATGTATCTTTTTTTACTTTACGACAAGCTTATATGTGGATAAACGAGATATGTGGTAATAACGTATGTAAATATGACACTAATTAATATGTATATTGTGTGTACAAAAAAAAATACTTTTTAATTTGTAGTGTTATATAACAATGTTATAATTTAACGAAAATATTTAGGAAATAATTAATAGATTGGGTCTAAGAAATATCTTTCTTCTCCCTTTTCTTTTTTAAATTTATTTCTGTGTACTGAGAATCTATGAATTGCATTATGTGTAAATGGTAAATGTAGCAATGGTCTGTAAATTAAAAATTCTGGAAATTGTACGTTGCAAAAGATTTCCTTTCTAATCTCTAAACTCTAGAGAATAGTCACCTGGAGCGAGTTTTATCCTAACAGCGAGAATAGTCTTAGCAGCGAGAAAATAAAATTCAGTCATAATAATGTTAAATCAGAGCGAAGTGATAGTTTTATACCCAATTTATTGTACATAACACTGAAATAAGTAAAATGATACACATGACAAAGACATGTCACACACCCACGCGTCGCATACACGCACATTTACGCTCGCACATACACACCCTTGGAAATCGTTGCTTATTTATTTATGGATACGATTTATAGAGGCTTACAAATCATAAAGCAGTGATAAGGTAACCCTAATCTTAAATGGAAGCATAAATCATTTATCACTTTTCCGTCTAATGGCTAGACTTCGTTACATATCGTTCGATGATATTTTCCATCCCTTAAATGTCTAATGCATTCGTGTTACAAATAAATATGTATATTTTCTTTATATGCTAAAAAATTATAAACTAAATCGCCGATTTATTAATTTTTGTCTTATCAAAATATAACTAGAATCGAATCGACAGATCGATCCGCTTAACGCACGGCAGAAATGTCAGTCCTCGTTGTATATTCGAATATATATCTTTTTATTCGCGTGCGTGCGAATATACGACAGTGATATCCGAAGTGCACAGATTCCTGGCACTGTTGCGTGAGAACCGACGGTAAGACGGAAGTTAGACTTATTGCAAAAAAATCTTACAACTACAATATAATTTGATTAAGCTTGAACTTAGCTAACATATTAGAAATGAGCACGAGACCATCGCATGACGCGGTATATATATAAAACATTTGTCTAATCATTTAAACAACCATTAAAACAATAATAAAAACGGCTAATTCCTCCTAAAAGTAAAAATCAAACTAAATAAACCGCATCAGCACCAATGTTTCCTTGAGAGCGCGTCGATTTAGTTAGGAGGATTAATCTACTAAAGTTCTCTCGTGCTCTCTCGCGGTACGCACTCTCGGTCTCTCGCTTGCAAAAATGCCCTGACTTCATAAACAAGACTCGTTACATGGAATCCCGCGGAACAACGCGTGCGTTGTGTGAGGCAGTGATGTCAAGTAGCGTTTCCGCATAATTCTGGCATGCTTTAATTTAAAGCGAATCTTAGTTAGTAACAGTTATATAGTTTATACAGCAGTTTTGGTATCTATCAAAATCTGACAGTGGGTAATTCAGGACACATAATTGGTATCTCTCTTACTTATAAATTTCAGTATGTCGAGTAATATATATCTTCGAACAGCGTCTTGAAAAAAAAAACCTGCTTTAAAGTCGAAAATACATGTGTTCAGATACGTACTGAAAAACCGATTAGAAATTCTCATTGTTTCTGAATACACATTTCTCTTAAATGCAGCTGTGAGTATATAACGTGATTTTATAAGGTATATACGTACTTATTTATGTAG